TGGGAGGTCCAGGTGGGCAGATCACCTGAGTAAGGCATTCAAGACCAACCTGACCAACATGGTGAAACCCTGTCTCTACTAAAAAAAATTCAAAAATTAGCTGGGCATGGTTGCAGATGCCTGTAATCCCAGCTATTTGGGAGGCTGAGGCAGGAGTATTGCTTGAACCCGGGAGTCAGTAAGCCAAGATTGCACCACGGAACTCCAGCCTGGGCAACAAAACAAGACTCCACCTCAAAAAAAAAAAAAAAAAAAAAAGGCTATTAAAAGTAGTATTTGTGGCTCACATTATTTCACTTGGATAGACTTCTAAACCTGTGCACAAAGAGCTAATACATGAATGTGTTCAAACTGTACTTAGAATCACACTCATTTTCTCAATTTACACTATTCAACATGTTAAATATGAAAATATTTTTATATGAAAGTATCAAAATGCAAAATCTAAAGTAAAATTGTTTAGTAGGGCTAGATGCAGTGGCTCATACCTGTAATCCCAGCACCTTTGGGAGGCTGAGGTGGGTGGATCACCTGAGGTCAGGAATTGGAGAGCAGCCTGACCAACATGATGAAACTGTCTCTACTAAAAACACTAAATTGGCTGGGCATGGTGGTGCACACCTGTAATCCCGGCTACCCGGGAGACTGAGGCAGGAGAATCGCTTGAACCTGGGAGGCAGAGGCTACAGTGATCCAAGATTGCACCACTGTACTCCAAGCTGAGCAACGGGAGAGAAACTCCATCTCAAAAAAAAAAAAAAAAAAGAGGGAGGGTGAACACAGTGGCTCATGTCTGTGATCTCAATACTTTGGGAGCCAAAGCGAGTGGATCACCTGAGGTCAGGAGTTCAAGATCAGCCAGGCAAACATGGTGAAACTCTGTTTCTACTAAAAATACAAAAAATCAGCTGAGTGTGCTGGTGGGCACCTGTAATTCCAGCTACTCCGGAGACTGAGGCAGGAGAATTGCTTAAGCCTGGGAGGCGGAGGTTGCAGTGAGCCAAGATCAGACCATTGCACTCCAGCGTGGGCAAAAACAATGAAACTCCATCTCAAAAAAAAAAAAAGTAATCGTTTAGTGGAGCACCAACAAATACTTGGATACCACTATGCGCAGGACGTTCAATCCACAGAATAACATGTTCTGCCACACTTCCACAGCAGAAGAGTCACATATTCTATATATAGTTAATGTGGACTGTGCTCCTACAAAGTGCCTAGCACCGTGTGAAGTGCTTTACTCTAGCTAACTCATAACATCTTCACAATTATCCTATGTGGTAGATACCATTATTAACACTTCTAAAGAACCTGAAACCAAAGTTGCACAGGTAATACTGTGGAACCAGGATTTCAACCCAGCAGACTTGATCCAAAATCATCACACATCTTCCCAAGTAAAAGGATGACAAAAAGATTATACCATTATCTTAGAGGACTGAGTTTTAGATGGGGGCACGTACCCTTTACAAAAAGATTGGAGTAGACAAAGTTAATGTTTTGCTTCCAATTCTCTCCATCCACCACTGTTCCTAATGACAGGTTAAAGCTGACCACATGGCTGGGCATGGTGGCTCACGCCTGTAATCCCAGCACTTTGGTAGGCTGAGGAGGTGGGCTGCTTGAGGTCAGGAGTTCAAGACCAGCCTGACCAACATGGTGAAACCCAGTCTCTACTAAAAATACATAAATTAGACAGGCACGGTGGTGGGCACCTTTAATCTCAGCTACTCAGGAGGCTTAAGTAGGAGAATTGCTTAACCCCTGAGGCGGAGGCTGCAGTGAGCTGAGTTCATGCCACTGCACTCCAGCCTAGGTGACAGTGCGAAACTTTGTCTCAAAATAAAGTTGACCACATGAATTAAATCATCAACCTTACTATATGTTTGTTCTATGCTCCCTTTTCCAGAAAGGCCTTATCCCAGCCCTCTGACCCAATTCCTATTAGTCCTTCAGACTTCATCATTTTAGATATCATCTCTATGTAAGCCTACTCAGACTCCTCACGATTTAGGCTAGACAATGCTCCTCCCTATGGTTACTACTGTAGCACCTTCCACAGTTATGACTGATCTCACTGGAATGCTCCTCAAGGGGTCTGTTGTGTTCACCATTTATTCCCAGTGCCTAAGAACAATGCCCAGCATTAGGTGCTCAGTAAATATTTGCTGACCCATCTGATCACCTAACCCCACCCAGCTACAGCAAAAGTGGAGTGTTAACAGCAAACTTAGTGCTAGGGAAGTGCTAGCGCTAAGTGCTACTGTTCTCTAACCCAGAAGTCAGAGAACAAGTTCTAAGTTTCATGAAATTTGTAAAAGACCAAGAGAACAGTAAGATACTCTGGAAATAAGAACTGTAATTTCCACCCAAAAAGGGTGAGCGAAATAAAAATCTGTTTTTAAAAAATCACTTGTCCAATTTAATTTCAGTATAATTACTTTTGTAAGAATGAAGCAGTATTTGTCACACACAAAAAAATCCAAACCAAATTATTTCAGTAACGCTATAAATTGTTTCAAATCAGCTTAATTTTAACAATTCCCAGAGTTCAAAGACAACTGTAGTTGCTTTTTTAAATCGTCTCAATAGAAAACGACATTAAAAATGGGTTAAACTACACCGCCACAATGCTGAGTGCTGGGCTCCAAGTGACAGAGGCAGCCATGGGTCTTCAAGAAATTTATTGGGGATCGGGTGAGTTTCACAATTAATTTAGCACAATTAGCATCAGCGCCACTAAATTTTCTAAACAGATTCAAAAGGGACTTTCCTAGAGCCTTCCCCTTTCCTTTCCTAGACGGGAAATTCGATTTAAAAGGTCACTCTTTAGCTCTTACTTCCACACTAAGTAATTCTGAAACGTGGTGAAAGTACATTAGAAGTCCTTAGGGCTATGACTGGCAAAATAATTTCCTGTAAATACTACAGTCGAAACAGAAGAGAGAACTTGACTTCATTCTGTTGGGTTTGAGGACAGAAACTGATCATCTCCCCCAGATTACTGTTTCTGTTGATGTCTCGAAAAGCACCGAGGCAAATATGCCAGAGTCCCACCACAAGCGCGAAGAGCCTCCGATTGTTTGACACATCAACGGATGTCAATGAGGGCGACTCACTTCTCCCTTCTAATGAGCCTTAATTATTCTCCACACAAACCCTCAAGTTTACTCTAAGTTATGACCATATGGAATCTTCTCTTTGCCCCAGAGTACAAATTCAGGCCTTTCCCAAATAGCTAGTACTGTTGCAATCGCAACCACTGAAATAAATACCTTAAATATACCACACATCTAGTAATTCCAAGCAAATGTGGAAAAAGCCAGTCCAGTCGCCTGAAGAAATAAGGTTCTGGAACGGGGTTAAATGATGCATATTTTGTAACCGAAGGCACTGAGCATAGTGGGAGACTCGAAAGCAAAACACCGGATGGAAAGCATGGAAGACCCCGCCCCAGTAAGCTCGATGCCGATTCAAATCGTAACTTGGGTCTGTCGTTTGGAATCGGAATCACTGAAACAAAGGCGTATATTACGGGAAGCAAGATGTCTGGAGTAAAATAAACGGTTTACAGCTACCGAGACCGTACACCGTCCTCCCACAGGTCTTACCTATGGTGGAAATAAAGGTGGTATTGAAGGCATCATCCGAAAAACGGAAAAGGACGCAGGTCTTCCCCACTCCCGAGTCCCCGATCAGGAGCAGCTTGAAAAGCAGGTCGTACGTCTTCTTCGCCATTGGGAGGAGCGGCTCGGGCTCTCGCCGCCGGCGGCCCCAAGGGATCGGTCCCTCTCACTACGGCCAACTCCTCACTCGGGCGTTCTCAGGCCGGAGGACTGGGAAGCGTGGGAAAAAGGAAGGCTCGAGAGGGTGCGGGCGACCTACGAACAGCTTCGAGGAAGGCCCGACAGTGGCGGCGTCCAGTGCCTCCGAAGGCGGCAACCGCAGCTCCGCAGCCTCTCCCAGCCGCTCCGCCCGGTTCCGGGGAGTCGGTCGGGACAAAATGGCCTCCCCTCCCCCCTCAGGGCTTCTCGGCCGGGACGCTCCCACGGACGAGCAAGCCTGCTCTGCCGTCGAGGAGGCGCGGCGGGCGTGCGTACAGTGTCTCCCCGGAGCAGAACCTCTGCGCTAGCACGCCGCGAGGACAGCGAAGGATCCCCAAGTCGACGAGCTCAGCTACATAGCCTCAGGAAGGCGAGCCACCCCGGCCAGAGCCACCTTTCCCCCGTGCCCTCTCACGCCAGCGTGCGCGCTGCCTGAGACGCACGCAAGGACGTACGCCCGCCCTTCCCTCGCGCCCTCGCCTTGCGGTCCGCCTCTGCGCACGCGCACAAGAGAGCGTGGGGGCGCGCCTGGGTGGAGAGTGGAGCGCTCCCTCCGGCCTCCAAGCCTCAGTCTGAAGCTGGACCCAGAGGGGAGAAGGGAGGGGCGAGAGAGGGTGAGGCCGCGGGCGCGCTCCCTGCGGCCGCCTGATAGGGTGCGCGGCGTTACGAGCACACCCCTCGGGAGTCGCTGCCTAGCCACCACGCAGGCGCAGCGCCCCCGGGGACACGCTTTACGCACCGCGCACCGCCATCCCTTCCCGGGGTCGCTCTCCGGCCCGCGCTGCGGTTTCTCGCACAGCGTTTGTCGGGTGTGTGGAGCTGGAGGTCTGGGCTCAGCGACGGGCTTGGGTGGCCATGTGTTCCCGTGTAGGTGGAGCTCGTAAACGCGAGAAAAAGTCGTGCCCTGGGTCATTTAATAGCTTCTCTGCTAGAACGAGACTCCTTCCGGCTTGCCACCCGCTTCCCTCCCCCCCGCCAGGGCCAACCCTGACTGGGAAACTTGAGCGCTCCATCCCGGTTCACTTCTAGAGCAAGAGTTTGAGATGGAAAACCTGGCCATGCTGCTCCTGTTGGGATGATGTAATCCTCTCAGCCTCTTCCTGGGCGAGGAGAGGAAGGCTGAGGAACACCTGGGCGCAGGAACAACCACCCCGCGAAGTGGAAGGTTATGTGCTGATGCTTAGAGAACCTGCGCTACGCCTCTGCCGGCCTTTAGGAATCCGGGAGAACCCGAGAGCTCTCCGCAGAGGAGGCGGAGCCTCTACCTGCCGCCAGAGTCGTACTACTGGGTTGCAAATTGAAAGGTGGGCCGGGCGAGGTGGCTCTTGCCTGTAATCCCAGCACTTTGGGAGGCCGAGGCGGGTGGATCACGAGTTCAGGAGATCGAGACCATCCTGGCTAACACGGTGAAACCCCATATCTGCTTTAAAAAAATACAAAAAAATAGCCGAGCGTGGTGGCACGCGCCTGTAGTCCCAGTTGCTCTGGAGGCTGAGGCAGGAGAATCGCATGAACCTGGGAGGCAGAGGTTGCAGTGAGCCGAGATCTTGCCACTGCACTCCAGCCTGGCGACAGAGCGAGACTTTGTCTCATTTAAATAAATAAATAAGTAATTGAAAAGTGGTCAAGCCTACCCCCAATCCGACACAGCCTCCATCCTCACATCCTCTCTTCATTTGTTTTACCCACTTCCGACCTCTCTCCCCATCAGTCCTATTTACACCGCTCTTTTTCTCTTCTTCCCTTCTGTAGTTACAATATGTATGCTGCTGACCTTCCATTCTCAGGGTCATCCATCCCTTAAGCACGCCTAGGTGTGCTGGCACAGGAGTCGAATCTGGTGAGCTGGTTCAGCCTGATAAAGTGGAAAACGCTGAGACGTGGAAAGTAAGAAACAGGAATAGAAAAGTAAAAACTACATTTTTACACACACCTCCCCACAATCGCCAAGTCACCAAAATGTGTATTTGACGTGTAATTAAAGATAGACTTTCAGGCAATTCTGTCTTACATTTCTGTCTTACATTTCAGTCTTACATGTTTCCTTTCTTCCCAACCACCCCTAAGGCATGCTTGCCAAGGATACTCGTTTTCACTAATCCATCTCTCTTCAGTCATTTTCTCTAATTGCTCCTAGTCATGTCACTTAAACCTTTTTTTTTTTTTTTTTTATGTGAGACAGGGTTTCACTCTCACCCAGGCTGGAGTATAATGGCAGATCTCAGCTCACTGCAGCCTCCGCCTCCCAGGTTCAAGTTACTCTCCTGCCTCAGCCTTCTCTGTAGCTGGGATTACAGGCGTGCGCCAACACACCTGGCTAATTTTTTGTATTTTTAGTAGACGTGGGGTTTCACCACGTTGGCCAGGCTGGTCTGAAACTCCTGACCTCAGGTGATTCACCCGCCTCAGCCTCCCAAAGTGCTGGGATTACAGGAGTGAGCCACCGCACCGGGCCTCACTTAAACCTTCTTGTCCTCTCTGAATCATTCCGACTTCAGCTGGGAATACCTTAAGATAATAATTCTAAAATAGACTAGCTATGCAAATCACAAAGTGAGCGATGTTGAGTGCAGCACAGGTGTGTTATCAATTCAGAGTCAGAAGGAAAATCTTTTTACCTTGATTATTCCTTTCAAAATAAGTTAGATTAACTCAAGCCCCAATGTTACAAAGTATCTTAAAAGTCTTGCTGGGCGCAGTGGCTCATGCCTGTAATCCCAGCACTTTGGGAGGCCAAGGTAGGCGGATCATGAGGTCAGGAGTTCGAGGCCAGCCTGGTCAACATGGTGAAACCCCGTCTCTACTAAAAATACAAAAATTAGCTGGGCATGGTCCCAGCTACTTGGAGGCTGAGGCAGGAGAATCGCTTGAACCCGGGAGGCGGAGGTTGCAGTGAGCTGAGACAGTACCATTACACTCCAGCCTGGGGACCAAAGTGAGACTTGGTCTCAAAAAAAAGTCTTAAGTGTTTTTAAGCTGGATACAATGACTGAACCTGTAGTCCCAGCTATTCAGGAGGCTGAAGTGGGAGGATTGCTTGAACCCAGGAGTTTGACACCAGGCTGGGTAATAGAGTGGACTCCATCTGTGAAAAAATGAAGTGTTAAAGATCTTGTGTGCTTGTTTTGAGGGTCTTGTTTGTTTTGAGGGTTTTAAGGGTCTTGCTTGTTGCACAGGCTGGAGTGCAGAGGCCTCAATGCAACCTCAACCTCCTGGCCTCAAGCAATCCACCTTGGCTCCCCAAGGTGCTGGGATTACAGGCATGAGCCAACACACCCAGCCAAGATTTTTTTGTGTAGAAAGCCTAATTCGGTCTGGGCATGGTAGATCATGCCTGTAATCGCAGCACTTTGGGAGGCCGAGTCGGGCAGATCACAAAGTCAAGAGATGGAGACCATCCTGGCCAAAATGGTAAAACGCTGTCTCTACTAAAAATATGAAAATTAGCTGGGTGTGGTGGTGTGCACCTGTAGTCCCAGCTACATGGGAGACTGTGGCAGGAGAATCACCTGAACCTGGGAGGTTGCAGTGAGCCAAGATCACGCCACTGCACTCCAACCTGGCAACAAGAGCAAAACTCCATCTCAAAAAACAAAGAAACAAACAAAGAAGCCTAATTTGGAGAATAATACCACTACATAAATTTTGGGGATAATGGACAGTTTAAAAATTTGAAAAATCCAATGCAAATGATAAATATTTGAGGTGATGGATACCCCCATTACCCTGCTTTGATCATTATACACTGTATGCATGTATCAAATATCACACGTCCTTCCATAAATATGTACAAATATATATCAGTAGAAAAGATTTTTTGACTTTATTTTTTATCCTGTAACCAACAATTTTATCACTTAGAAACTTTTCCCCATGAACTCATATTCTGAAACTTTAGGAAGTAATTACATTTATTAACAAATTATTAATCATAGAATTTTTTTTTTCTTTTCTTTTCTTTTTTTTTTTTGAGACGGAGTTTCACTCTTGTTACCTAGGCTGGAGTGCAATGGCGTGATCTCAGCTCACTGCAACCTCCACCTCCTGGGCTCAGGCAATTCTGCTGCCTGAGCCTCCTGAGTAGCTGGGATTACAGGCACCCGCCACCAAGCCCAGCTAGTTTTTTGCATTTTTAGTAGAGACGGGGTTTCACCATGTTGACCAGGATGGTCTCGATCTCTCGACCTCATGATCCACCCGCCTCGGCCTCCCAAAGTGCTGGGATTACAGGCTTGAGCCACCGCACCCGGCCCCAGATTTTTTTTTTTTCTTACATGAAGTCTGACTCTTTTACCCAGGCTGGAGTGCAGTGGCACAATCTCAGCTCACTGCAACTTTTGCCTCCTGGGTTCAAGTGAATCTCCTTCCTCAGACTTCCAAGTAGCTGGGATTACAGGCACCACCACACCCATCTAATTTTTGTATTTTTAGCAGAGACAGCGTTTAACCATGTTGGCAAGGCTGGTCTTGAACCCCTGACCTCAAGTGATCCGTTCTCTTCAGCCTCCCAAAGTTCTGGAATTACAGGCATGAGCCACTGCGCCCGGCCCCTGGACTACATTCCTTATAAAGCAATTTTGAAAAAAGCACAAACCCTAAACTAGGAAACGAGCCACCATGCCTGACCAGGATGGTCTCAAATTCCTGACCTCAGGCGATCTGCCCTCCTCAGCCTCCCAAAGTGCTGGGATTATAGGCATGAGCCACTGCACCCAGCCAGAAACATACCTTTTTTTTTTTTTTTTTTTTGGAGATAGGGTCTCTGTCACCCAGGCTGCAATGCAGTGGAGCAATCACTGCTCACTGCAGCCTCAACCTCTCGGGCTCAAGCAATTCTCCCTCTTTAGCCTCCCCCGCATCTGAGTCTACAGATGCGCACCATTACGCCTGGCTAATTTTTATATTTTTTGTAGAGATAGGGATTTGCCATGTTGCCCAGGCTGGTCTTGCACTCTTGGGCTCAAACAATCCATGCACTTTGGCCTCCCAAAGTGCTGGAATTACAGGCGTGAACCACTGTGCCCAGGCATAATTCAACCCCTGCACATAACCCACTGATGAGCAGTCTGAGGCTCAGAGAAATTAGGGCCTTTCCAGAGGCCATAATTCGAGCCCTGAATGCAACCTACTGATGAGGAGTCTGAGGCTCAGAGAAGTCAGAGCCTTCCCAGAGGTCACACTGTTAATGCAGAATTTAGACTATATGGGTAAGGGAAAAGAGAAGAAAACCTCCACAAGACATCATATTATGTCAAGGTGAGAATTGGGAGGATTGAGAGGCTCAGCCAGTACTTAGCATTTGGATTCTCTAAAGTTAATTAAAGGTTTTGCTGGAGTGAGGCCTAAGCATCAAGCTGTATCTATGCCAGTGAAGCAAGCAGAAGTGATCAAGGGATGGAAGATCTCTGACTCTAGAAAAAAGAATAAAATGGGGATCTACATAGGCCTAAAGGATAAACTTGGAGTTATGAAGAAATCTTTCACAAAAGTGGAAACAGTGAAAGAAAATGCCAATCTAGTTCTAGTTTAGGGCTTATGCTTTTTTTCAAAATTGCTCTATACAGAATGTAGTCCAGAGGCCAGGTGTGATGGCTCATACCTGTAATCCCAGTTCTTTGGGAGGCCAAGGCGGGCAGATCACTTGAGCTCAGGAGTTCAAGACCAGCCTGGCCAACTTGGTGAAACCTCATCTGTACTAAAAATACAAAAATTAGCCAGGCATGGTGGCAGGTGCCTGTAATTCCAGCAACTTGGGAGGCTGAGGCAGAAGACTCGCTTGAGCCTGGGAAGCTGAGGTTACAGTGAGTTGAGATTGCATCACTGCACTCCTGCCTAGGTGACAGAGCAAGACTCTGTCTCAACAACAATAACAGAAAATGTAATCCAGGCTGGGCGCACAGGCTCATGCCTGTAATCCCAGAACTTTGGGAGGCCAACGTAGGCAAATAGCTTAAGTCTAGTAGTTCCAGACCAGTCTAGGCAACATAGTGAAGCCCCATCTCTTAAAAATTAAGAAAAAAAATTAGCCGGACATGGCTGTGCGCTCCTGTGATCCTAGCTGCTTAGAAGGCTGAGGTAAGAGGATTGCTAGAGCCCTGGAGGCAGAGGTTGCAGTGAGCCATGATTCTGCCACTGCACTCCAGCCTGGGCAACAGTGAGACAGTGTCTCAAAAAAAAAAAAAAAAAAAAAAAGAGAGAAAGAAAGTAGTAGTACAAATATTTGCAAAGCCAAGAAAAAAAAAATAGTCAGATTTGTATGTTTATACTATTAATTAAGGTATTATCTCTATATTTTTCTAGAAAAAGCACAGCCGACCAGCTTGTGGTTCTAGTCTTCAACTTAAGCATTTAAGATCTGCCTCTACCTTATAAAAAAATGCCTGCCTCGGGATAGGCCGCCATCACGAATGACACACTAACTATCTGCACTAGAAAGTTCATGACCAACCGACTGCTTCAGAGGAAACAAATGGTCATGGATGTCCTTCACCCCGGGAAGGCAACAGTGCCTGAGACAGAAATTCGGGAAAAACTAGCCAAAATGTTCAAGACCACACCGGATGTCATCTTTGTATTTGTATTCAGAACTCATTTTGGTGGTGGCAAGACAACTGGCTTTGGCATGATTTATGATTCCCTGGATTATGCAAAGAAAAATGAACCCGAACATAGACTTGCAAGACATGGCCTGTATGAGAAGAAAAAGACCTCAAGAAAGCAACGAAAGGAACGCAAGAACAGAATGAAGAAAGTCAGGGGGACTGCAAAGACCAATGTTGGTGCTGGCAAAAAGTGAGCTGGAGATTGGATCACAGCCGAAGGAGTAAAGGTGCTCAATGATGTTATCTATGGCCGTTGTGGATTTTTCACGAGAAGCTTAATAAACTAAAAACTTTCGTGTGAAAAAAAAAAAAAGCCTGCCTCCAAAGATATTGAGGCAGGATCATCTTTACCACTGTTCCCACTCATGTTCAGTCTCTATACATGATTTCTTTTGTTTTTTTTTTTTTAGATAGAGTCTCGCTCTGTCACCCAGGCTGGAGTGCAGTGGCGCGATCTCGGCCCACTACAACCTCTGCTTCCCTGGTTCAAATGATTCTCCTGCCTTAGCCTTCCAAGTAGCTGGGACTGTAGGCACCCACCACCACACTTTGCTAGTTTTTTGTATTTTGAGTAGAGACTGGGTTTCACCGTGTTAGCCAGGATGGTCTTGATCTCCTGACCTCATGATCCACCTGCCTCGGCCTCCCAAAGTGCTAGGATTACAGGCATGAGCCACCGCGCCCAGCCCCTATACCTGATTTTTTAATCTTTTATCCCTCCCCAACTTACTCTCAGTGTTCTTCCTAAGAATGGAGTCTTCCCTGGAAGGACCAGCCCACTGCTACGTCATCATCTTGTTGTAAAACCGTCCCCTCCAGTCTCCAGGACTTTGTGTATTTATTACTGCTTGTTTCCTGTGTTCACACCCACAGTCTTCCTGCAGGGACTTCATGAGAACAGATCTTGGTTGGACTTTCCTGATGCTAAATACTGATAGCCTAGCGGCTTGCAGCCTGTCAGTATTCTGCTCTGCCTGCATGTCTTGACTCAGGCCTCCTCTTGTTAGAAAATGATTGGTCTACCGGGCATGGTGCCAGATGCCTATGGTCCCAGCTTCTTAGGGGGCTGATGCAGGAGGACTGCTTGAGCCTGGGAAGTAAAGGTTGCAGTGAGCCAAGATCCTGCCACTGTACTCCATACTGGGCAACAGAGCAAGACCCTGTCTCAAAAAAAGAGAATAAAAGAAAATGATTGCCCCGGGAGTCTTCCCCAGCCCATTGGATGTGTTCGTTCTAGTCCACTGCCAAGGATGCCTTAATTCTGAAATGCTAATCTCAGTTGGCATTTGAGGGGCTCCAGGCCCTAGCCAATGAGTCTTATTTTCTACCCTAGTTTCTACATGCTAACCACCAGAGAAGGTGGATGAGTCTTCTTTCCCACAGTATCTTCTCTGTTCCCACAGTAAACTTCTGTGTTCAATCGAGTCTCCTTCCTCAGTCTCCCAAGTAGCTAGAACTGCAGGAATGTGCCACAATGCCTGACTAATGTATTTTATTTTTTTGTAGAGATAAGTTCTCACTATGTTGCCTGGGCTGTTCTTGAACTCCTGGCCTCAAGCAGTCCTCCTATCTCAGCCCAGTGTCTTACACATAGTAGGGGCTCAATAAACAATTAAATTGTATCTGGGCCGGGCGCGGTGGCTCAAGCCTGTAATCCCAGCACTTTGGGAGGCCAAGGCGGGTGGATCACGAGGTCGAGAGTTCGAGACCATCCTGGTCGACATGGTGAAACCTCGTCTCTACTAAAAATACAATAAATTAGCTGGGCATGGTGGCTCGTGCCTGTAATCCCAGCTACTCAGGAGCTGAGGCAGGAGAATTGCCTGAACCCAGGAGGCAGAGGTTGCGGTGAGCCGAGATCACGCCATTGCGCTCCAGCCTGGGTAACAAGAGCGAAACTCCGTCTCAAAAAAAAAAAAAAAAAAATTGTATCTGTATTGGGACAGATGTTGGAAGTCATAACTAATTTCCTGCTCCATGCAGAAATGCTGCAACCAGCCTCAATGTCAGCATGGCCAGTGAGCTTGCCTTGCAGACAGCCGATTGCAGGGCTGGGTATTTCTGACAAAAAAAGCGTTCTATAGAATGAGAGTAACTGGCTTTCTTTAACATCATCCATTTGTTTTAATTCCATCCTCTAGAGCAGGCGTCCCCAAACTTTTTACACAGGGGGCCGGTTCACTGTCCCTCAGACCGTTGGAGGGCCACCACATACTGTGCTCCTCTCACTGACCACCAATGAAAGAGGTGCCCCTTCCTGAAGTGCGGCAGGGGGCCAGATAAATGGCCTCAGGGGGCCACATGCGGGGCCATAGTTTGGGGACGCCTGCTCCAGAGCAACACAGAAAACCCCAATTTCACATGACAGCACTTTAACTATCTGAAGATAGTATTGGTGTTTTCCTCTAGGCTGCTTCAAGTTAACCCTCTCTCTCTTTTTCCTCTTCTGAGGTGTTGAAAATCTTTTCATACAAGATGATTCTCAGAAAACTACCATCACCATCATTCTGCTTTGCTTATGTGTCTCTTAAAGTGTGACACCCATAATTGAACATTGTGCTTGAGTTGACGGCATAATTCCATAGAAATACCCAGATTAAGCTACCACTGGCAGGTAATAGAAATGCCTAAGACTAAGATGGTTTGAAAACCACCTTGCGGGTTAACTGCATTGTAACTAAAGAGCTATACAATAAATTATGATTGCCGGGCGCGGTGGCTCAAGCCTGTAATCCCAGCACTTTGGGAGGCCGAGGCGGGTGGATCACAAGGTCAAGAGATCGAGACCATCCTGGTCAACATGGTGAAACCCCGTCTCTACTAAAAATACAAAAAATAAGCTCGGCATGGTGGCGCTTGCCTGTAATCCCAGCTACTCGGGAGGCTGAGGCAGGAGAATTGCCTGAACCCAGGAGGCGGAGGTTGCGGTGAGCTGAGATCGCGCCATTGCACTCCAGCCTGGGTAACAAGAGCAAAACTCCGTCTCAAAAAAATAAATAAATAAATAAATAAATAAATAAATAAATAAATTATGATTAACATTACATTTCACATTTAGAAATTTAAAATAGACCAAGAAGGCTAGGCACAATGGCTGTGCCTGTAATCCCAACACTTTGGGAGGCCGAGGAAGGAAGATCACTTGATTCCAGGAATTCACAATCAGCATAGGCAACATGGCAAGACCCTCTCTCTACAAAAAATAAAATTAGCTGGGCGTGGTGGCTCACGCCTGTAGTCCTAGCTGCTCAGGAGGCTGAGGTAGGAGGATCACTTGAGCTCACAAGTTCAAGGTTGCAGTGAGCTGTGGCAGTGTCCCTGCACTCAAACCTGAGAGAAAAAGGGAGATCTTGTTTCAAAAAATAAAATAAAACTAACAGAAGAACAGGTAATTCACAGAAGTGTATCACTATATGAAAAAACATTCTAATACAAAACATTCAAATTTGTAACTGGAGAAATTAAAAATTAATAAGACAATATTTTCCATCTGTCAGCATGGCAAAAATTAGAAAGATGAATAATACCAAGTGCTGGTAAAGATGTGAAGAGGTGAGAACTCTCATGCATAGCTGATGGGAATTCAGTCTGGTCCAGCCATTCTGGGAAGCAACCAGGCAATGTTTAGTAAAAAATGTACATACCTGTGACTCAACAGCACCATTCCTGGGGGTGTCCAAGAGAAATTCCCCCATAAGTTCATCATGGCTTTGTTTGTGGTAGTTAGATGTTGGATTGGAAACAATCTAAGCATCTGTTACTAGGAGAATAACTAAATAAAATACAATGGATGCTCACTGAGTTAGACCAGATCACAAAGGGTTGTCTTGAGTTTGAAAATTGGCTATTACAGCCGGGCGCGGTGGCTCAAGCCTGTAATCCCAGCACTTTGGGAGGCCGAGGCGGGTGGATCACGAGGTCGAGAGATCGAGACCATCCTGGTCAACATGGTGAAACCCCGTCTCTACTAAAAATACAAAAAATTAGCTGGGCATGGTGGCACGTGCCTGTAATCCCAGCTACTTAGGAGGCTGAGGCAGGAGAATTGCCTGAGCCCAGGAGGCGGAGGTTGCGGTGAGCCGAGATCGCGCCATTGCACTCCAGCCTGGGTAACAAGAGCGAAACTCCGTCTCAAAAAAAAAAAAAAAAAAAAAAAAAAAAAAAAGAAAATTGGCTATTATGACAATTCAGACCTAAGTTAGCACTTCTGCTTTTTTTTTTTTTTTTTTTTTTTTTTGAGACGGAGGTTCGCTCTTGTTACCCAGGCTGGAGTGCAATGGCGCGATCTCGGCTCACCGCAACCTCCGCCTCCTGGGCTCAGGCAATTCTCCTGCCTCAGCCTCCTAAGTAGCTGGGATTACAGGCATGCACCACCATGCCCAGCTAACTTTTTGTATTTTTAGTAGAGACGGGGTTTCACCTTGTTGACCAGGATGGTCTCGATCTCTCGACCTCGTGATCCACCCACCTCGGCCTCCCAAAGTGCTGGGATTACAGGCTTGAGCCACCGCGCCCGGCCACTTCTGCTTATTAATAAACTGGCAGCCAGTCATGGTGGCTCACACCTGTAATCCCAGCACATTGGGAGGCCACAGTAGGTAGATCACTTGAGGTCAGGGGTTCGAGACCAGCCTGGACAACATGGTGAAATCCATCTCTACTAAAAATACAAAAAAAAAAAAAAAGAAAGAAAAAGAAAATTAGCTAGGTGTGGTGGCACAGGCCTGTAAATCCCAGCTACTCGGGAGGCTGAGGCAGGAGAATTGCTTGAACCCAGAAGGCGGAGGTTGCAGTGAGCCAAGATAGTGCCACTGCACTCCAGCCTGGGTGAGAGAGGGAAATTCCCTCTCAAAAATAAATAAGTAAGTTATAAACTGGCAAACAAGCTAAGCAAAGAACAATGCTTTCCTATTTCCTCACAGAAACATCCCCAAGTTCTGATGATCAGTGCAGGCCTTACCCATGGCCTATCCCACACTCAGAGAGAGAAAACTGGTCTAATGAGATCAGAGTTGGGACTAGCTTTTTTGGTAGGATTAGGCTCAGGAGGAGGTCAGGTCAGCATTCAAGGGCCTACCACATACCATAAAGAAAGTTTCTTGTATTATTGCATGGATAGCAGGCTTCCCATGGACTATCTCACAGGCTCTATTAAGCTTCTAACTGCACCTTCAGCAACATGGTGAACTGAAATGAAGGAAAAAGAAAATGATTTATAAAACAAT